TACTATTTATACATCACAAAAACTACATCTTAAACAGGCAAACCTGAAGAGAAAACAACACTTAAGAACACCCACCACTTAAAAATGGCGAAATGGTCGAAAGTGCATGGGACGATAGACACTACGGAGAGTTTTTACGCTCACTTACTCCGACCAAACGAAAATCTGTAAGAATAGAATGTCAAAGTAGAAAAACTAAAAAAATCATCAAATTTTCCTTGTCTGTCATATTCAACGAAACATATCTATAGAAGGACAATATGAATAAAGACGAAAAAAAACTTCCCTTAGTCGACGCGTTTCGTCTTCTGGTATTTTCCTTGATAAAGTCCCTCAGTATTTATACATACATATATATATATATATATATATATATATATATATATATTGACAAGTTGTGTCTATTTATTTTAAGTAAGTTCCTTTCATATTGTCTGATAAGCTTAATAACATTATCATTGAAAGACGAAAGGAAATCACTATATTGATACATGTTTAAATACAATCTAAGCTTTCGGTTTACATAAGCCATTATCAAAGATGACAATTACATTTCAATATATCAACCAATAGACGGACGAAACAATAATAATAGTCTGTTTTTGCTGCATGAAAAATTTCAAAACAACGACAAACTCGTGTATACGAGACGCGGAAACGAAAATCGCATCGCAGCTCGTGACGTCACACATGACCACGCGAGAATGAAAACGAGATGTATAAAGTATGAAAAAACGTTGGTATAAATATATATATATGTGGACATTGAAGTATGGAAAGCCGTTGGTATAAACCAATGGCTTCAGTTATCAATTATAGGCATTTAAGAATATTTGTGGAAATTTCGTAGTTTATTTTGTTCAGGTTAGGTTTCAACTGTTTTATGTATATAGCTTCAAGAATTTTTAGTTTTTGTTTATTGTTTTCATGTTTAAGTATAGTTGTGCTTTCGACGAGGATTTTCCGGGATTGTCTTGGCGGCCAGGCATGTTGTTTTAAATGCCTAAAAATGAAACATGCATCAATGAAAAATTGCTGTCTAAATATATATGTATATATATATATATATATATATATATATATATATATGATGGCAGGACGATTGCATCTCGCATGAAACAGACTGTCGCCTCTAAGTGTTGACTTCTATGTTCACTTTTATATTTACACACGCTCTATCTTTGATATTGAGCACTTTATCCCATAAATATAGCACATCTTAAGACTATATTTCTTCATATATATATATATATATATATATATATATATATATATATATATATATATATATATATATTACGAATAGTGCCCGGTAGGTCTTCATGAATATTTAAATGAGATCTAATTGAGCTATAGTCAGAAAGGTGTAGAGTTAGTCTGCATGTCAAACATGTTGTAGTGTGGCCTATATAATTATTTAAGAATTTTGATTGATCAGGAATACAATTCCTTTATGGACATTTAAATTCGTAAATAATATTTTCCCTATTTAATTTTGTTCTAGGAGGTGAATTATTATTTTTAACTATAAGGTTAGATGTTTAAATTTTTTGTAATAAATAATTAATCTAATTTTTTTGCTATTGTCAACTGGTGTTATGCATTTTTTTTTCATAATATTCTTAATTCTGCTTTCATCCTGTTTATAATTTTCGTTCATCTGATTTTTATAAAAAATATTAATATTATTGTTTATGTTTCTATTCTCGCTGTTGCTATTATCTGCCTTTTATATATATATATATATATATATGTAAGCAAATATATGGATATAGATCCGACAGTATGAAGAAAAATATACGGAAAAACAAACAAAAATCCTAATATGTAATGATGCTGTTTTAATGTTAATTTAATGTCAACGTCAGACGTTTCGGTTTAGTAGACCATCTTCATGACATATTTGTAAAACATAATTAACATTAGACGATATTCAAGTCAACATGAAAAACTCTTATGTCCATCGTCTTTTCAGTCTTTTGGAGACTATTCAACATTAGTTGTTGAGGCTCAGTTGAGTCCCCTTGTAGGTGGAATTGTTAGAAAAAATCCGTTCCCTGTTTGAGTTCCCACTGTGCGAAACTTTTTGCGAAAATAACCTTAGATTTAAAAAATTGTGATTGGTGGTGGGTGGAAGGGGACTGAGGTGTTGAACTTAGAGGGGGGAAAGGGTTATAGAACCAGGGGTGGGGACAGTATTAGTGTTGAAAGATTTTCTATGTTAGTATACAGTGTGGAAACAGCGAGATTGTCAATAAAATAAAATGAAAGTGAAAAAAGAAAAAAAAGAGCAAGGAAAGAAAGAGCACAATATATATATATATATATATATATATATATATATATATATATATATATATATATATACAGAAAGTAAAAAAAATCATTTAATAATAACTAAGGCTCAATTATAAGTTTGTTTATAAATGGCTATTATTCATCAAGAGGCTATTAGTTTGTTTTTCAGTTTTAGAGTTTGTCATTTAAAACACACCTGCAGAAATATAGGGCACTGTTACCTGATACCTCGGCTATTATCACCTTTCAGGAGATAGATAATACAGGTGATACCTAGACACCATTCTAGCTTCTCCCCAAACTGACCACACCTACCTACTCAATTCGCAGTCTTTCTTACCGGGCATCAGTTTTCAGCTAATATTCTTCTCGGATCATAATAATTTATGCGTCGTGTCATTTCAGGAAGTGGGTGATCATGACTCTCCATGACTTCCTGTACCTTGTTGTTCTATTCAACATTTAACTCTTTAACATTCCTCCTTGTCGATGTTCTGTCATCTATTAACACTAACTCATTAAATAGGTGATCACAGGTCTCCACATCTTCCTGTTTTTTGTTACTCTAAGTAACTTTTGACGCTTTACCATTCCTCTTTGTCCCTGTTTTGCCATCCATTAACACTAACCCATTAAGTAGGTGATCATGGCTCTCCACATCTTCCTGTCTTTTGTTGCTCTAAGTAACTTTTCACTCTTCACCATTTCTCCTTGTCCCTGTTTTGACGTGCATTCACACAGTCATTAAGTAGGTGATCATAGCTCTCCACATCTTCCTGTTTTTTTGTTGCTCTAAGTAACTTTTGACTCTTTACCATTCTTCCTTGCCCCTGGTCTACCATCCATTAACACTAACTCATTAAACAGAGCATCATGGCTCTCCACATCTTCCTGTATTTTGTTGCTCTAAGTAACTTTACACTCTTGACCGTCCCTCTTCGTTCCTGTTCTGCTGTCATTAAGTAGTTGATCATGGCTCTCCACATCTTCCAGTCTTTTGTTGCTCTAAGTAACTTTTGACTCTTTACCATCCCTCTTTGTCCCAGTTATGCAATCCATTCACACAAACCCATTAAGTAGGTGATCATGGCTCTCCACATCTTCCTGTCTTTTGCTACTCTAAGTAACTTTTGACTCTTTACTATCTCTCCTTCTCACTGTTCTCTCATCTATTCATACAAACTCATGAATTTGCTTGTTGTTTCCTTCTACTCCACCTTCCTTCAGTACGTCCTGTGAGTATTAAATTTTCCAAGCCGTCCTTCCTCATCATTTTTTTAAGTTCATTTATTTGTTGTTTTTTTTTTCTAAAAAGGTTTCATGTCTGTTAATATTAAGTTGTTCGAAAAATAATGTCCGATTTTAGAATAAACCTTTTCTAATACAGTATTATGTTAGTTGCACATAAGTATATAAACACATTCCTAATGATTAAAGTGTACTCTTTATTGATTTTATATCAATCTCTTTCATTATTTTGTTCTCAGGCACGTGACGAAACTATTGTATACACTGGAGAAAAGTATTAGTTCGTTCGTAAATGAAGTCCGATTTTAGAATAAACCTTTTGTGTTATTATTATATCTGTCTATATATCTGAGTTGAGGTATTGTAACTATTTACACTATTTACATCTTTCGGACTGTTAGACTCATCTTTATTGCCACATTGCCGACGTTACGGCCGTTGTACGCTCCGGCCTTCTTCAGGATCTGTCTATATTTCTGAGTTGGGGTATTGTAACTATTTACACTATTTACATCGTTTAAACTGTTGTCTTCATCTTTATTGCCACATTCACGACGTTTCGGCCGTTGAACGCTCCGGCTTTCTTCAGGATCTGTCTATAATTCTGAGATAATGTATTGTAATTATTTACACTATTTACATCGTTCGGATTGTTGTCTTCATCTTTATTGCTACATTCACGAGGTTTCGGCCGTTGTACGCTCCGGCCTTATTCAAGATCTGTCCATAATTCTGAGATGAGGTATTGTAACCATTTTCACTATTTACATCGCTCGAACTGTTGACCTCATCTTTATTGCCATGCTCACAATGATTCGGCCGGTGAACGCCACGGCCTTCTTCAGAATTTGTTTATATTTCTGATATGAGGTATTGTAATTATGTACATTATTTACATAGTTCGAACTGTTTTCCTCATCTTTATTGATATATTCACGACGTTCCGGCCGTTGTACGCTCCGGCCTTCTTCAGGATCTGTCCATATTTCTAAGATGAGTTAATGTAAGTATTTGCGCTATTTACATTGTTCGGACTGTTTTCCTCAACTTTATTGCTATATTCACGACGTTTCGGCCATTGTACGCTCCGACCTTCTTCTGGATCTGTCTATATATTTTAGATGAGGTATTTAAACTATTTAGAGAGTTGAGTTACTAAACGGAATTAACTGATACTGAAATATCCAAAATAAGCGTGGCACGAGGAACTAGAACAATATACCCCCCCGCTGGACTAAATAAAGGGTTTGGTTCGAAATTCAAACGTATATCACCTAAAGAAGGTCGGAGCGTACAACAGTCGGAACGTCGTGAATATGGCAATAAAGATGTGGACAATAGTCCGAACAATGTAAATAGTGTAAATAATTATCATAATAGTTGCACAAAAATATATTACGACTTAAAATACATCTCAGATATAAATTATAGCGATAATTTTAAAAATTTCTGGTATGCAAACGTGGAAAAGACCCCCTCTCTCTCTCTCTCTCTCTCTCTCTCTCTCTCTCCCTATCTATTTCGCTTTCTCTCTTTATCTTTCTCTCTCTCTTTCTCTCTCTCACTTTATCTCTCTTTCTCTTTCTCTCTCCTTCTTTCTCTCTCTATTTCTCTTTCTCCCTCTTTCTCTTTCGCTCCCTCTTTCTCTCTCTATTTCTCTTTCTCTCTCTCTCTCTCTTTCTTTCCTTCTTTATTTCTCACTTTCTCTCTCTCTTTCTTTCCCTCTTTCTCTCTCTAATTCTCTCTCCCTCTCTTTCTCTCCCTCTTTCTCTCTCTATTTCTCTTTCTCTCTCTCTTTCTTTTTCTATTTCTCTTTCTCTCTCTCTTTCTCTTTCTCTCACTTTCTCTCTCTTTCGCTCACTCTTTCTCTCTCTCACTCTTTCCCTCTTTATTTTTCTCTTTCTCTCTCTCTCTTTCTGTCCTTCTTTCTCTCTCTATTTCTCTCTCCCTCTTTCTGTCTCTCTTTCTCTTTCTCTCTCTATTTCTCTCTTTCTCTCCCTCTTTCTCTCTCTCTTTCTCTTTCTCTCTTTCTGTTTCTCTCCCTCTTTCTCTCTCCTTTTCTTTCTCTATTTCTCTTTCTCTCTCTCTTTCTCTCTCTCACTTTATCTCTCTTTCTCTTTCGCTCCCTCTTTATCTCTCTTTCGCTCCCTCTTTCTCTCTCTCTATTTCTCTTTCTCTCTCTCTATTTCTCTTTCTCTCTCTCTTTCTTTCCCTCTTTATTTCTCTCTTTCTCTCTCTCTCTTTCTTTCCCTCTTTCTCTCTCTATTTCTCTCTCCCTCTCTCTCTCTTTCTCTCTCTATTTCTCTGTCTCCCCCCTCTCTCTCTCCCCCCAAGAGCCAGCCCAGATCAAAAATGGAATATTTCTGCCAGATCTGCCGGACAATCTCCTCACAAATTAAGAAGAGACTTGAAGCAACAGATATGTGGCTCTAAGCAAGAATGTTGAAAATACAATGGACTGAACACGTGAGCAACGATAAAGTTTTAAAGAAACTTAAAAGAAAAAGAATTCTTTTGACATGTCTAGGGCACATAATGAGGAAAGAGGGCTTAGAAAATTTAATACCCACAGGACAAATTGAAGAGGGACGAAGGAAAACAATGCATAACTTACCTATCGAGCTTGAATGAACTGATGGAGGAACAGGATTTAGGAGAGATAACAAGAAGACAACATTTACCAAGAGCTACAAAGGATAGGAAATTGTGGAGGGCCATAATCGCCAATGTACTGAAGGGACACAGCTCATATAAGAAGAATTATTTAGTCTGGAACAGGGCATGCACATCTACTTTTTAAGTAGATCTTCACTTTCCAGTCTTGATCAAAGTCGTTTACGCGGCCCTGTGAGTGATGACATATTTTCCACTCTACAGCCTCTTTCCCCACAGACGAAAAGCTGCAAGACTATCGCTATTTCCATGGAAAATGTTCTAACGATCTTTTTTTTTTTTTTTTAGTTTCACCAGTTCAGACCTTTACCTCTAGGAAACGCCATACTTAATCCACGGGGTCGGACCACACCTAATCCCCCGCTGTTCCAGTTGTAACCAGGGAGGGGGGTTCTATAATGTCTACTTTGTGGATCAGACTATCACTGGGATGCTTCCCCGAACGCTACAATCTTAACTTCTTCAAATCTACGGTCAGTCGTTAGCTATCCTTATCCTGACTTCACTTCTTGCATTCACGTCACACCCTTTATTCAGTAACTCATTACCTTGAGTGGCTCTTAAGCCTGGCTGAACATTAGTAAAAAAGAAAAGTTTAAAAAAAACTAGCAAATTCTGGCACTAGTCCACATTAACGAAGATCCCCAGTGAGGATCAAATTCATTACAATCTTGAATAGGCCTGTGAGACAAACTTTCCAACTACTTTTACATAGGAGGGTTACCTCTATGTTTATTTACTAAGCTTGCATCATTCTAGTACTAGTTCATATTGGTGAAGATCCCCAATGAGGATCAAATTCATTACAATCTTGAATAGGCCTGTGAGACAAATTTTCCAACTACTTTTACATAGGAGGGTTACCTCTATGTTTATTTACTAAGCTTGCATCATTCTAGTACTAGTTCATATTGGTGAAGATCCCCAATGAGGATCAAAATCATTATATTGTTGAGTAGGCCTGGGAGGCAATATTTATAACCACTGTTCCCTAGGAAGTAGTCGTCTATTATTATTTACTAGTTAGGTACCAGTCAGGTACCAGTCCATATTGGGAGAGCAGACGATGAAGATTGGATTCACTGTACAAGCTAACCTTCAGTAGGTGTCAAAATTCCCATCAATCATTTTCGTCTATTAAAATGACTTGTTGTAGAGTCCCAGGTCCTCAACTTGTACATGATGCTCAAGTACATTTTTTTTCAATACTTGTCTGTCGTCAACCAGTTTTTTTTTTTAAAACTTATGCAAGGAATTTTTTAGTTTGTCAGCGACAATTCCGAAAAGAACTGAATTTATAGCGTCCTTTGACATTTGGAGTGACAATGAATTATTCATTGGCAAATTTACAGGCTTCAAAGCATTGTACCATTCCTTTGTATTTACGATGAAAATAGAGAAAAGTTCTCAGCCCGGCTAACTTCACAAAATCATCCCAAATAAACAAACGACACAATTCTTTCTTAAAAAATAAAAAATTAAAAAAAACAAATCCGTTTCAAATGAGTCTCAGTCTGTATTTTTTTTTTTTTAAGCATTTCACCCTAAGCAAGGCGGAAAACCACAAGCATACAAGGCGTTACAGTATAGGACCGAGAGTAAAGAGGTGTGATAGAGGAAAGGATAAAGAGAAGAATAGGGAATAGATCAAGGCTTTTGGAGATGTCGATTGACATTACATTTGAATAGTTCGAGATTATAGCTATCAGGAAAACAATTAGTAGGAAGTGAATTCCACAGACAAGAAGTGCGACACATGAAGCTATTGGAGTCAAAGAGACGGCTACATTTAACTGTTTCGACAGTGAAAGGTTGGGACCGTGATCCCAGCCTAGTAGCACGCTTAAATTCATGCAGTCTGGGAACCAGCGAAAGTAGCTCGTCGGAGCAGTTACCGTGAAAGTATTTGTAGAAAAGACAGAGGAAGGCGACGGCACGTCTGTGAGAGAGCGACTGTAGACGAGATGCCAGATCAGGGCCAATCACATTGCATATCCGTCTCTGGATTTTGTCGAGGACCTTAAGACGAACAGCGGGGGCACCAGGCCATATATGGCATCAATACTCCATGCAAGGGAGAACTTTTGACTCCGCCCATGGAATTCACTTATGATTATCTTGTTGCCAGGTTCAGGAAGCAATATTTTAAACCACGCGGAAATTCCCATCCCCAGCTGGTGTCTGGCGTGGGATAATTGACTTCATGGCTTGAAGGAACTCTTTAGCCTTGGGGGGCAGTCTTTCAACAGACTGTGTCTCAAGAGAAATACCTGGATGCAGGGTCATTGTTCAACATTTTGTATCAGCTATCGAAGAACCATGTTCCGAACAACCATAGGAAAGTCGAAGGGTGATAATGATGAGGGTCCCACGGGCCAAGACTCAAATCAAGCTAACTACTTCTGGGGTATTACTTTTTCATAAAAAAAATACGATAAAATATTCAACCTCGCTAAATTCAAACTAAATAAAATGTATAGTTTTGTTTAATAAGGTAGAATAATTCAACATACAATGCAGTTGTTTCTTTGCTACTAACTGAAGATGAATAAATATTGTATTTATGGTAATTTAAGCGTTTTTTAATGAGCTTTTTTAAATGCCAGACCTGGTTCAGAGGATGTTTTTTTATTCATTTCCCTGGAGATGATTTTGTCTTGTTTTATTTTAGAGTGAATTAATTAAGTCAATCAGTCCACCTTTATTAAGATTAATTAGACCTGAGCTAAATAATCATTACTTACGTCATTGTTATTGGATGCGCATACGTAGACACATGAAATGGGCACATTGTTGATTTCTTAAAAAGGGCATTGCGAAATATAGGAAGACGCAATACATGAAAAATCAATATATATATATGTATATGTATATATATATATATATGTATGTATATATATATATGTGTGTGTGTGTGTGTGTGTGTGTGTGTGTGTGTGTATTTCGGCAGCAATCCCTCTTTTGCATTAGTTTCATTGAAGTCATCTGACAAGGGATTGCGATTCATCTTTTTTATTATAATTTTGTCTTGCATAAGGATAGAAATAGCAGGATAGATAGATAGATAGATAGATAGATAGATAGATAGATATGGAGAGACTGACATAGATAGATAGATAGATAGATAGATAGATAGATAGATATGGAGAAACTGACATAGATAGATAGATAGATAGATAGATAGATAGATAGATAGATAGATAGATAGATAGATAATGTACAGACTGAAATAGGTAGATAGAGTGAGAGAAAAAGAACAGAATATAGACTGAAATAGAAAGATAGATACAGAGTGATAGAGAGACAAGTCTGTGATAGATAGATAGATAGATAGAGAGAGAGAGAGAGAAAGAGAGAAAGATAATGAACAGACTAAAATAGACAATGAACAGACTGAGATAGATAGATAGATAGATAGATAGATAGATAGATAGATAGATAGATAGGCTGTTACCCAAGGCTAGAAATTCCAGTCTACCATCCTATTTAACCCATATTTGGGGAGTAGAATATGTGAATGATTCATTCTTTTCCCAGGGCTATTACTACTGCATAAATGAATTCAACAGAAGATACCGGAATTTGAAATCTCGTTGATTACTCTTTCTGCCTCGATAATGATTTCAAACCTTGAGGTCGATGCGAAACGGCGTCGACTGTGACTGAACAAACGGAGTTTTGAATAGCAATCCCTGGGATAGCCGCTGCACATAGGAGCTGATAGCTGCAGACGGATGTTCACTGCCGCAGCTTTTAGGGCACTCCCACTTCTCCCAGACCTCAATCAGTTCGCTTCTCCTCTGCAGTTGGTGTTACCTGCACGTACAACGAAACACGAGGCACAGCGATCCAGCGTTGTCTTTTCCGGAGCGTCCATCAGCGGAGTTTAAATATCGTAGCAACAGACGCTCTGCGCAACCTCGCAAAAAACGACTGATACATGAGTACACATGGGAAATCTTTCTTGGTATATCCTACGTCGTCTTCTTCTTCTTCTTCTTCTTCTTCTTCTTCTTCTTCTTCTTCTTCTTCTTTCATTGGTCACTTTATCTCGGTCTACCGTTTCTTTCTCTTGCCCCGGCCAACAATCATTGAATTATTAACATTGCATCGATTGCTCTTACGGGTTTCTACATGTTATAAGTAAAATAGAACTGCACTCATATGCATTCTGTACAAGAGGTTGATTTTTCCCTCTCCGTCTTTTTCCTTGGCTTCATCCTCAAACAATGACCTTGGCTGCTTTCTTTTCAAACCATTGCAATAACTAACAAAGCTTTTCTATTCTTAGAAACAATCTGCAACAGCCTTTCATCAAGCCGGTCCTTTTTAAAACAATACAACGTCTACCTAATCAATTAATGCGCTTTTTTTCTTGAAACATTTACAACTTTTTTGTATAGGCAATATTTAAAATGGCAATGGCAAAAAATAGCCGTTTCCATACACAAAACAGCCGGCATTCATTGACCAAATGTCGATTAAAATTTATAAAATCTTTTTCTTCTAACAGATTTTCAAGATTTTAGTCGTTCCAAGAACAGATAGATAGATAAGGAATAGGTTAGATAGATAGATAGATAGATAGATAGATAGATAGATAGATAGATAGATAGATAATGAACAGGTTGACATAGATAGATAGATAGATAGATAGATAGATAGATAGATAGATAGATAGATAGATAGATAATAAACTGGCTGACAGATAATTAATAGGCTTAGATAGATAGATAGATAGATAGATAGATAGATAGATAGATAATGAACAGGTTGACATAGATAGATAGATAGATAGATAGATAGATAGATAGATAGATAGATAGATAGATAGATAGATAGATAGATAGATAGTGAACAGGTTGACATATATAGATAGATAGATAGATAGATAGATAGATAGATAATTAATAGGCTTAGATAGATAGATAGATAGATAGATAGATAGATAGATAGATATTAAGTTTAAAGAAAGTTTTGCCATGTAGACTACGTTACATTTGTTATTCGTGTACATTTGTGGCTGGTCTTTCTTCAATCTTTACCGTGTGTAGTAGCGAGTTAACTGAGAAGTGTTCCATTTAACAAAGATATTCACACCGTGAGCAAGAAGTTATGATTATTACATACGGCTGCTCGAATAGTAATGGACGCCAGACTGCACGACTGTTGCAGATTGCGTTTTATAGACCGAAGGCAGCCGATTCATCCAACCTTTGCTGTTATTTATCGTCTCGTTGCTTGTTTTGCTGTAAGGAACCCGCCACCAAAGTTTATGAAATTATTTTTGGATTTTATCTTGGATTGTACATTTAACAACGTCTACCGTAAACTTTAAACTTAATAACTCAAAAAAAAGGATTTGCGGACATATGTTTATATGTTTCTTGTCTTGATGTAAGGAACCCGCCCTAAAGTTTGTAAAAGTATTTTTCATACATCCTGTATAGCAGGAGCACCGGACCATATGTGGCAGCAATATTCAAAGCATGGACGAATGGCATATATCCGTTTGTTCTTTATTTAAAAGAGATTTTTTTTTTTTTGTAAAATAAAACAAATACGTTTACGTACGCAGATATCAATGACGTAAGCACAGTTAAAAATTTGACATTTGTAAGCAAATTTCCAGTTACTCTGTAAATCCTCCATTTCTAAAATAATAGCAAATCAATATTTTTCGATTCTGACAAGTGATGCAACACAAAGAAAGTCTTCTTTTTGTTCTTTTCTCAACCTGTGAAGGTCCTTTGTTAGACGTAGGCCTTCCCCAGATTCATAGGGAAGAATCCACCATTACGCTACCGTGCCGGCCCAAGTTGGTAGGGCGCAGATGTGACACGCTGGCGCGATCATGTCTAATTTTGATTCATTATCGCCCAAGGGTATTTGCACGTAAATGAATATAGCGTATAGGTGTATCGTCAATGGCAATACCTTTGCAGCGAAACGGTCGAGCCTGCTTTACTCATCTGAACTGGTATGGGGAACTGTACTGGTCCACAGACTACACCTAAAGGACACATGGCACAGTGGATAGAGGCGTTAGTTAGATCCAGTGACAGGACCCAAAGAGTGTGAGTTCAATACCCGGTTAAGGCAGTGGAGAACTTTCAGAGGGAAATTAACAGGAGATAACTGATAACTGACATCCATTAAACATGGCTCGTGGAACTAGAACAGTCTACCCCAGCGAGGGAAATAAAGGGTTAAGTTCGACATTCCAACCACCTGAAGAAGGTCGAAACGTACAACGGTCGAAACGTTGTGATAAATATGGCAACAAAGATGAGGATAATAGTCCGAACAATGTAAATAGTGTCTGCACTTAACTCTCACAAGTCGCATGGGCACTGCGACTGCGACTGCGACGCTCACACCCTGATCAATGACATCGACTTGAAAGGGTTTCCGACCCGACCGATGAAGATGAACACCTCTCCTGAAGCCACCTGTGCCAAGCAGTCATCGGCCAATCGCCAGCCTAAGCAGAGGAGCTTTACCAGTTGGCGGAGGAACTTCTGAGAGAATGACAGGGTAATCTCAACATTTTCGGGGCAAAAGTAACCGGCAAGCCATTACACTATTCTGCCTTGAATGCCACCATGAATCACAGTTGTAAAATGAAGGGGAGTGGTTACCACAGCGGCGGCGCAAAATGCACTAACTGAATAAATGCTAAATGTAATGAGCCCTACTGGAATTTGAACTCAGATCTTCGATTTCTGTCGCCATCCATTGCACCATCCGCACATTCAAGCTTATAACACATGGTATTCCCTTCTACTTACTGACCAGGCTCAACATTGCTTACCTTCGGTGATCGTACAGAAACCGGTGTTTCAACGTGATATTGTCGTAAACCTGGCTGTAAATTCGCCAGTCCCAAAAGCCAATCGTAATTCCATACTCGCTTTTATTCTGATAGGAGATATTTCGACTTAATGCCATACAGGTTTGACGTTGCTTAATCTCGGTGATCCTACGGGAACCGATTTTTCAACGTGATATGGCCGTAAGCCCGATTACCTTTTAGAATAACTCAACATAATTTTTTTTTTCACTACAATTTATTTTTAGTCACCTATCTTGAGTCAATACCGCAAACATAAAGGAAGCAGTATCAGTTGAAAATTATGCACAGACACCCCACTCTGCTTAGGATGGGGTTCAAAGCCATTTCCAGAAAGGGATCAACATGGAATCTGGGTCAAGTGCCGTGTTATTTTTGTTGAATAACCCTTCATCAGTGCAAGAGCCCACTTTTGCTGTGTCCCGTTTCGGTTCAACTTGCAGGCGAAGGAGATACCGGTAGGCCAAGCTTCGTTTTACGTTATCTCCTACCCCTGATGTCCGCATTTTGGTGTATTCGCTGTCCCTCTTTTCCAAAGGGCGGGATAGAGTAAGACCGATCTTCAATCTGTCCTATCTTAAACCTTGCTAGCCACGATTAATGACCCAAACATACCACAGTTTTCCTTACACCAAACCAACTGTTATGGGGTCTTACCCATAATAATAATAATGGACTATTCCATACTTAATAAATACTGCGCCTCAGGAGTAGGCAATGGAATTAGTAGTTCAAGTCTCGACCGGCTGATCGGTTGAACTCTCTGCCTTCGGGCGGGGAGGAACCCGAAAGGGGCTACGCCAAAGGGTGGATTCTCTTTCGGGGAGGTAAACCGACCCTGAAACCGTTTATACGGGTTCAATGGGCATATTTTTGGTCGAGCCCACGGGCTCGGAGAGCCCACGTTAAAAAGGCCTTGTGCCACATGATGCCCTCGTGTGAGGTAACTGAATATCGTCAGTAGTTCAAGTCGAATCAGTAGTTCAAGTCGAGTCAAGAGTCGAGTCAGAGGCAGTCCGAAACAGAGTCGCGTTCAGACAATTACTGCAAGACATTGGAATAGTGATACTGGTCAAGACTACATTGTTCTCTCTACTAAACCTGATTGTTCATACTAACACTTCTACTTCTCTGTATATATTCCTGTTTGTAATATATCTGTGTTATTCCATACCTGTGTTCGCGTTCTTCTTTATTGGTTCTACCTTGGACTATCACAGTGGTACAAGGAACCGGACCATAACACCAACACATTCTTACTTACCATTGTTACTACAGCCACTATAACGTCTCAAAGTTTGTATGTAGTCCTTACTAGTTGCTATATGTACAATTTGTCTGGTAGGCGGGGATAAAAATAACTACATTTAAAAATGAAACCGACAATGAATATTTGCACCTAAAAGGAAGGGGGGTGATACTATCATCTGATATCTACCGAGGCATTTGCGACATGACGATGCAATCATTATTGCTGGAAAATTCTAAGGAAAAAACGATGGCCTGTTTACTGTTTTTTAAATGACACCAAATGAGTTTACAAACATTGAAATCACTATTTCATGATTTTTTAAATTTTCTATAAAATATTGTTAATGATTTTTTAATACATAACCAGCTCACTGCCTTTAATCCTAACCCCTAATCCCTTAAGCCTAACTCCTAACCCTAATCCATAACTCTAACATATTTCATACTTCCAACAATTGGTAAATACCATACCATGGTAGAAAATGAATAGTAAGTACCATATTATAGTAGAAAAAAGGACACCTCGAGGCGATGTAACTGTTAACAATCTTGTCTCGCTAGAACACTTATGACTGAGGAGTGATTGCGATCCTCACTGGGTGACCCCACTTTCGACCTTGTGCCATATCTAAGCTACGTTTGGAAAATCACTATAGTAGAAAATGGATGGTAGATATCATACCATACTAGAAAACGGGCGGTAGATACCATACCATAGTAGAAAATGGATGGTAGATATCATACCATAGTAGAAAATGGACTGTAGATATAATACCATAGTAGAAAATGGATGGTAGATATCATACTATAGTAGAAAATGGACTGTAGATACCATACCATAGTAGAAAATGGATGGTAGATATCATACCATAGTAAACGGACGGTAGATATCATACCATAGTAGAAAATGGATGGTAGATATCATACTATAGTAGAAAATGGACTGTAGATATAATACCATAGTAGAAAATGGATGGTAGATATCATACTATAGTAGAAAATGGACTGTAGATACCATACCATAGTAGAAAATGGATGGTAGATATCATACCATAGTAGAAAATGAATGGTAGATATCATACTATAGTAGAAAATGGATGGTAGATATCATACCATAGTAGAAAATGGACTGTAGATATCATACCATAGTAGAAAATGGATGGTAGATATCATACCATAGTAGAAAACGGACGGTAGATATCATACCATAGTAGAAAACGGACAGTAGATACCATACCATAGTAGAAAATGGATGGTAGATATCATACTATAGTAGCACCAAGGAAGGCTGATAGTGAAACTCGGTAACAGATTTTAAGTGTTCGGTAACTGTCACGTGATATTCTAGACGTGCAATGATTGGTTTCTGATATCCAATCAACGTCTATTATTCTATGTAGGACTTGACTGATGAGCGGTAGCGTCCACCAAACTCTTGCTATTTTTGCTTATTTACTTATTTATTTTTGGTTATCTCATTTGAACTACAGTTTACGGCCTTTTTGCTGACTGTTTTATCAATTAATTGATTTTATTTGTCCTATCTCCTAAATCTTTCTACACACACACACACACACACACACACACACACACACACACACACACACACACACAAAAAGAAAAAAACTCATATAAAAATTAACTATAGTTTTATCCTCAGATAATGTAAGGTAATAAAATAAAAATTGGGTAATCAATCTAAATATGCTGGCTTCATTAAACAAGTGTTTGCTACTCATTTGTTTCTTTGTACGCACTGACCTTCCTAAGAAGACAGACAGTTAATTGGTAAGCGGGTTAGGTAGGTTGAAGCCAACATTTTTTCTCGCCAGAATCCATTTTACACGTTCATAAATCTGCCATCAATGATAAACGTATATACGTTGGTTGGGTTGATTTTTCAACATTCAGGGAATAGGTGTTTAATTTAAGTGAAGGAAATGTTACGGTTTTCATTCAACCAACAACAAAGAAAAAGGCAAGAAAGGTTTTTTAAATATAAAAATATTTTCATTTTCTTTCTTTTTTTTTTCTTTACAACTAAATTTTTCTCAGCGTGTATGATTGTTAAAATTGTTGTTTTAAAGTCCCGTGTTTGCAGTTGCTTGTTAAGATGAAAAGAAATGTGATTTCTTCATGTGTACGTTTGAGAAAAAGAGACAAGGGAGAAAGTAGGGAGGAAAATGTGTCGTGTAGCTTGGTGAGGAAGAGTGTATGTGTCACGTAGCTTGTGAGGAAAACGGGTGAATGATTAAGGGTATCTGTGAAATCGTACGCGTCGTAAACCGCTGCCGTCTCTATCTCCTTACTGGCTTGTCTGATCTAGAATCTTAGCTTAAATAGCCTTCAAAGAGATCAAAAATATGTTTTTATTGTCGGCAGGAATGCGAGCCGTGAAGAAGAGTGTTAAATGCCATATCGCTTGGTGAGGAAGAGTGTATGTGTCACGTAGCTTGTGAGAAAGACGGGTGAATGAGTAAAGGTATCTCTGTGAAGTAGTGCGCGTCGTAAACCGCTGCCGTCTCTATCTCCTTACTGGCTTGTCTGATCTAAAATCTTTGCTTAAATACCCTTCAAAGAGATCAAAAATAAGTTTTTATTGTCGACGGGAACGCGAGCCGTGAAGAAGTGTGTTAAATGTCATGTAGCTTGGTGAGAAAGAGTGTATGTGTCATGTAGCTTGTGAGGAAGACGGGTGAATGAGTAAGGGTATCTCTGTGAAGTCGTACGGGTCGTAAACCGCTGCCGTTTCTATCTCCTTACTGGCTTGTCTGATTTAGAATCTTTGCTTAAATAGCCTTCAAAAAGATCAAAAATATGTTTTATTGTCGGCGGGGACGCAAGCCGTTGATTGAAAAATATTTGATGTTTATTTTCAAAGGATTAATTTATTAACCGGAAGGATGCGTGTAACCATAAAAAAATAAACAATATTTTTCGGTTCTAACAAATGTCGTGGGGTGAGGAACGTCTAAGTAATGCTAATCTTCAAAAAATATTGCGCCCCTATATTTTTTTTTTTTTTTACAAAGGGACCAGTCTATTCAAATAGTTCCCATTCTTGTTCTATCCATAACTGACTTTTTCTCTTTTTTTTTCTAGCTAAAAAGAATCGGGATTCTTCCAAGGTTAACAGTGATTTACAGGGACACGACAACAGAGCCTTTTTACCAAACGCAGATTTTTCTGCGGCAGAGCAAGGTAAGTCTTCTGCAACCAATGCTATAAAAACAGACAAATGCAATGGTCGTTGGGTCACAGTGGGATCGTTTTATAGCAAAAAAAAAACGCGCCTCATCTGGCGTGATGTATATAGTCTTATTATGCTTAAACCCTCAGTCACGATGACTTTCGACTTCGTGCTAGCTCAACCTTCGACGGCGGCTCCCAAATAGTTCTATCTACCTAATTTCAATCACAGGTCTTTGACCAACCCGTGGTATGATTTCCAGGCCCTTTTGCAAATACGACGCACTCTGGGATCGCCTCCCTAGGCCTATAACATTCAAGACGTCAGATAAATCCACCACGATGAGATTCGAACTGATTTTTGTTAATTTTTTTAAAAAGCGCTGCTTTTTCCCTTCTCCACCAATTTCCCTTCGAGGGTTTGCCACCCCCAGGTTGGTAAACTTTGAAATCAACACGTAGTAGAGAATCAGGGGCGTATCAAAGTTTCGTGTGGTGACGAGACCCTAGCGCAAGCCCTGATGATAGTCACGTTGCTTTCTGACTAGGTGACTAGGGTTCGAATCTGATCGTGGTGGATTTATCAGGAACCTGACATTTTGAATGTTATAGGCCTAGGGAGGCGAGCCCAGAGTGCGTCGTATTTGTAAAAGGGCCTGGAAAACCATACCACGGATTGGTCGAAACCTTGTGATTGAAATTGGGTAGATAGAACTATTTGGGAGCCGCCGTCGATGGTTGAGCTAGCACGAAGTCGAAAGTCATCGTGGCCGAGGCTATTAGCATAATAAGACTATACATCACACCAGATGAGGCGCTCTTTCCCAGAACCTGTAAACCGCTCAGCATCGTTGCCGTACCGGGTGTAACAACAAAATTGTTCAAATCGTGTAACACCAAAATTGTCCGTTCGTCAGATTAAGCTCTGAACCGTTGTATCGTAGAAATGATTAAAGATATCTTACTGGAATTCTCCGAGGATTTTATAAAACTATTGAACTCTAATTTGAGCAATAATAATGTATAATTACTTTCCAAGCTTAAAAGAAAAATCGCGACGTAATCGATCCTAAACGAAAATGACGATCATCATTAATTAATCGAAGCTAAGGATCAGATATATATATATATATATATATATATATATATATATATATATATATATTATTCAGCATCATATTCTAACTTATTCAAGATGATCTTTGCTCTCTCTAACCTTCTAAGTTTCTGTCCTGAAGTAATACAGTGCCGCAGAGGTTTCATGTATAATTTCATTTTCAAGTCTTTTTTCACTGCTCTTTGAACTCTCATAGCTGAAACTCCACTCTCATATTTCTATGAAAATTTCTGAGACATTCAGGCCGGTAAATGTCGTTAATACTGTTTATTACAAACAGAGCATTTACTGAAATATTTGTATCTATAAAAAGAACATATAAAAAACATATAAAATATATATATATATATATATATATATATATATATATATATATATACCGGATGTAACAGCAAAATTGTCCAAATCATGTAACAGCAAAATTGTCCAATTGTTAGATTAAGCTCTGAACCGCTGTATCTTAGAAATGATTAAAGATATCTTACTGGAATTCTCCGAGGATTTTGAACACTACTTTGAGTAATAAGAATGTATAATTACTCTCCAAGCTTAACAGAAGAATCGTGATGAAATCGATCCTAAACGAAAATGACATGTTCATCATTAATTAATCAAAGCTAAATATCGGAAGCTCATGATGATTTGAAATAAAGTTCAAATATATATATATATATATATATATATATATATATATATATATATATATATATACGTCTAGTATCCTGTTGCTTATCAAGATGACAAAATTCAGCATTAAAAACCTAGAATAGATTTATATACCATAAACCAGACCAAATGAAATTATTCCGACTCGTATCCCCACTTTTATTGTTTTTGTAACTACATTTCGAATATCTTTATCTTTATTATTTTTACAGCTATATTTTGGCCAATGTATTATACAGCCCTGTTTTTTGTTTTTTGTTTTTAATCGATTCGCCCCAAACAAAACGATAATGCCACTAAGACGCAAGGGTCTACTATGAGTTAAAGAGAATGAAAAGATTTTGTTTCGAAGGAACCAGAAACCCATCACAACGCGTAGCTGGTCTGGAGCCCCTTCTGTTTGCCTCGGGGTTCTTGATAGGCTCCAGAGACGGATATGCAATATAATTAGCCCTGCCCTGGCATCTCGTCTACAGTCACTTTCACACCTCACCTCTCTCTGTTTTACAAATATTTTCATGGCAATTGCTCCGAGGAGCTGCATTCGCTGGTCCCCAGACTTCACGAGTTCAAGCGCCCTACGAGGCTGGCATCCCGCTCTCACCCTTTCACTGTTGAAACTCCTAAATGTAGCCGTCTCTTCTACTCCAATAATTTCATGTCTCGCAACTCTCGCCTATGGAACTCCCTTCCCTATTCCAGTTTCCCTGAGAGCTATAATCTCCAGCTATTCAAATGTAATGTCAATCGACATCTCCAGTTGCCTTGATCTATCCACTATCCTTCTCCTCATCCTTTCTTCTATCACTCCTATCTGATCTTGCTCCAAATCTTCTGTAACCCCTTGCGTCCTAGTGGCTTCCCGCCTTGCTTGGGGTGAAACGCTTAAAAAAAAAACTCGAACAAGCAAAATCAACAATCCATCTCCATTAATGAGAACTCAAACCCGGTTTCCAATACATTTAGTTGGTTTATTCAGGGATTCGCTTGTATAGTAGGTAGGTAGGTAGGTAGATGGAACCTGGGACAACTTCTGCCATATCAGTCTAACAGTTCAGCTCTTCCCAGTGCCGAAACCTCTTCTCATCTCAGAATCACAAGGAATGATTGAGAACACGAACGGAAAATATCGAAACTGCACGAGGGACGGTTTATCCCCTACCAAAGGCAGACCAGAACTATCTACGTTGATCCTAACTACGACTATTAACATAGACCAGCAACCAGATAACCTATGTCCAGTGTTGTTGTCACGTTGTCTCCTAAAGCCCCCGTTCACTCATTTACACTTCTGTTCCCCTCAGGTAAAAGTGGATTAGAATATTAGACTTAAAAAAAATCCGCTGGCTCTAAAATAAAAACACTTGAGATCGAGATAAAGATCACACTTTCCTCTCGAATATATATATATCTATATATATATATATATTAATTGATTTAAAATATTTTTTCGCTACACAGTTCTAACCATGTTTCAAAAATGGAAGCTAAAAGCTTCGAATTTAATTTTGTAATTAAATTAAAGACATTAGTTCCATTTCAGCCTCAAGCGAATTTTGAAGTAACTTATTTTTTTTAAATTGCTGGGTTTTAAAGGCACTGCAAAAATTCATAATTCACGTTTCCAAGGATACAGAGAAATCCATTTATCCAGACAATGGGTGGTTGCGTGTTCATTATCGCTGTATTTTGATGTATCAGTTATTAGTTACGTTTGCAGAAGGGTTTTCGTTTAGGTAGGGGTAAGGATTATATATCTTACTGTTCTTTCTTTTTATATATATATATATATATATATATATATATATATATATATATATATATATATATATATATATATATATAAAGGAAGAGGTTATAGTAGTTCCAACGAGAGAAAAGTGTGTATATTAAAAAGAAGAGAGAAACCGCAAACGTTTTTTATTGTAATGTGGATTTTTTTTTAAAATATTATTTGCTTTATTTTCCATAATTTTGCTACACGTGTTTCCGGTCTCGTGACCGTCATCAGGCAAATGGTTGAGATTTACACATATTATCAAAAATAATTAATTTTTTTCATTATGTTTTTCGATGTTAAATATTCTCGATCTGAGACATTCTCATTTTTTGTGTTAGTGATCCAAACGTCTTTCTTGAACTGACAGTGAAAAGTTCTGCGTGAAGGGTTATAAAATAAGATTGGTCCGAGAAATGATGGAGTAGTTATCGGCATGCTTATCTTTTAATAACCCCTGTGTGTTCTTAGATTTATTTCTATTTTCATGTGCTTTTGTGAGCATGCGTGTATATATGTGTATATCCCCTCTCCATACATACACACTGTCTCACTACGAGGAATCATTTGAACACATCTGTACACCCACACACACACATACACACATTTTAGCATAAGATAAAGAAACGCGCCTGAACTGATAAAATAAGCAAGGATACTATTGACCGTATATTACATATGCCTAGACGCGGTGTAATGGTTAGCGAGCTTGTTTCGCCTGTAACGCCTGAATAGTGATTTCCATCCTCATTGGGTGCCACATACTTCCGGCCTTGTTAAGTTACGCTTAAACAAAACAATTATGGCGCAATGGTTAGCAAGCTTGTCTGGATAGATCAATTACAACCGGGTAGTGAGTTCGACCCTAACTAGATGCTCCACACTTTCGGCCTTGTGCCACATCTAATTTACGCTTAAAAAATCATTTTGGGCACTTGGTGTAATGTTTAGCAAGCTTGTCTCGATAGATCAATTACGATTTAGCAATGTGTTTGACCCCCACATGGTTCTCACTTCTTTCGGCCTTGTGCCATATCTAAGCTAAGCTTAGAAAATCGCTATATTACATATGTCTGTTCGTAACGTAGGAAGCCATTTTGAATGATTCGGTAATTTTAATAACGACATGTTGCATTTAAAGGCAATGGCGATCGTTATCTCCTGTTTCTTTGGATCCTGTTCCTTTTTATTGGCCTTTCTACTCGGTAATGTTTTATCGGTTTCCTTCATTCTATTGTCTTTCATCCTCAGTAACCCCCATGAGCCTTAGTGGCTTTATCGCCTTTATTAAGGTGAAATGGTTTTAAAAATGTTTTTCATTAATTAATTTTTTTGTACACAATTTTATTTTTCAGGATTGGGCAATTATGCAAATAAAGAATTTCCAAAATCTACTAAAAAGGTAAATGTAACTCTTTCTCTCTCTCTCTCTCTCTCTCTCTCTCTCTCTCTCTCTCTCTCTCTCTCTTTCTCTCTCTCTCTCGTTCTCTTTCTCTCTGTCTCTGTTCCATACTTCTCTCTCTCTCTCTCTCTCTCTCTCTCTCTCTCTCTCTCTCTATCTCTCTCTCTCTCTCTCTCTCTCTCTCTCTGGGTTTCATTATCCCCCTTTCTCTTTCTTTGTTTCAGTGCCCCCTATCTCTCTCTCTTTCTGTTTCATTGCCCATCTCCCTCTTTCAAATTTGCACTCTTTCGAACTCCCTCTCTCTCTCTCTCTCTCTCTTTTGTTCTTTGTCTTCCGCTCGCTCTCTCTTTATCACAATCAATGTTACTTTCAATCTTTCTTTTTCAATGCCCTCTCTTTCTCTGCTTCAATGCCTTCTCTCTCTCTCTCTCTCTCTCTCTCTCTCTGTGTGTGTGATTTATTACCCCTCTCTCTCTCTCTCTCTTTCAAATTGTATCTTTCACCGCCGAACTTTTCTCTCTCTCTCTCTCTCACACACACACACACACACACACACATTTTCAGTCTTTCTCCCTCTCTCGCTCTCTCTCTCGCTCGCTCTCTCTTTCAATGTTCTTCTTTTTCTTTCTCTCTTTCAGTTTCTCTCTCTCTCTCTCTCTCTCTCTTTCTGATTCATTGCCTCTCTTCCTCTCTCAAATTTCCTCTTTCTCTTTCAAACCTTCCCCACTTTTATCTCTTTCACTCTTTCTCTCTCTCTCTCTCTCTCTCTCTCTCTCTCTCTCTCTTTCTGATTTTGTTACATATTAGTTTCCTTTAGATGATTTTACATTTAATTAGATACCTCCACTAATTCGGTATACGTAAGGTATAAAATGATTTTTTTTTAAATGAAAAAGCTTTCTTGAATTGGATGCTAAAGCATTTAAAATTACTATTTCCAGTAAGCAAAATACTCTGTGGTGTATTTCAAACAGAAATATTGATCGAAATCGATTGTTTTTTCAGTAAAATCGATAAAATTCGGCCATTTTAGCACATTTGTAAACAAAAGTTAATTCTCAGTTTTAAAAACTTTGCAAACATAAAATATACATTTCTGAAACATTATTTAAGGAAAATTAGCAATTTTAAAGTTAATCTGATTTGAAACAAATATTACTTAGCTAAAGCATAAAATGTTGTGAACAAGAATTTCTTAACCACGAGGTCTTGTTTTTCTGACGTGTTAATCGATTTATTATCAGCCGATTGACCGCCGAACGTTTTCATAATTAAGTATGGTGGAGCAGACGATAAATTTTATATGAGGGTTTTTTCCCCATAAGAGGGGACAACTCTTAAAACACGTGACCTTTTAATGATAGGTTTGGATATCGATAGTTTGAAATTCTGCATGTATCACACATACAAAAACAAATCGAATTTTTTTTAATATTCGAGGTCGTCAGATTGTAATAAGCTTTACAATATACAATTCGTAAACATAGTTTTACTTAATAACAATATTTCCTAAGAGTCATCACATTGAAAATAAATCTTAAAAGATTCAAAAACTTTATAAATCATTCAATTTAAAACTGTAAAAAATGAAAAGAAATCTTGTAAAAATTCATTTTTTATCAATTTTTTTTCTTCAGATATTGTCTTTAATATATATTGTTCATAAAAGCAATTAAAAGTTTCTCTAATTAAATAATGTCTTGGTTTTAGTGGGGTTTTTTTTCGATTCAAAACAGATTTTTCGGTAAAAAAATCGGTGATTTAAATTCTTCAAAGAATTCTGCTTTTAACTAATATAGTCACTAAAAATTGTCACATTGAAATTCTCAAATTTTCATAAAATTAAGTGGGATGGAGGCAACATATGTAAAAAAAAATATATTTCCAACAAGAAAAAAATTTCAAAAATAATTTCATTCATTTTTGAATAAGTTCTGAAAATTTTATTAAAATTCGACAGTTATTTGATTTTTGCAAGAATTTCCAAATTAATGTGTCTGTCACCGCAAAAAAAAAGAAGCTAAAATTTGCTTTGCTAAAAGTACAACCGCTGAGACAAGAAAAACGAGTTTTTTAATCATAATTTTGAATGTTCTAAAAAGGTGTTAAAAATTTAATTAAATATTCAAAAAATACTTTGATCCTTCCTCTTAATAATAACATAAAGATTTTGACGATAAAACTTTGTTTTCTTTACGCCTGGAGCAAGTTTTCATTTCAGCATGCTGATTTTTTTAGCGTTTTCTTGGAGGTACTTACTTTTAATGATCTAAGAAGCAGAATTGTTTCTTATATACGACAACAGTCGTGTAAATAAAAATCTTCGATTACTAGAGCAGAAAACATAGCCGGCGTAATTTAAAAATAACTCAAATATGGCCATCATATAGTTAATAATTAAAAGTATGCTTGTCTCTCCCTTCACTTAGCATGACCGTTATGTCGTGCTAATACCTAAAAAATAACGGACTGTTCCATTTTGATTCCATGGAAAGACGAAAATGACATATCAAAGACGTTACCTTGTTTCTGCGAGGAAATGAAAGAAAGAAAATATCAGTGCCCAAAACAACAAAGATGAGGATATTAGCCTGAATAATTATATGAATAATAACAACTTTAGATAGTACTGGAAGAAGACCAGCTGAGCAACAAAGATGAGGATAGTATATGAATAATAACAACTTTAGACAGCTGAATTACACCAGCTGAAAAACAACGGACAAGATGAGGATAGTAGTATATGAATAATAACAACTTTAGACAGTTCTAGGAAGGTTGGAGAGCACACCAGCTGAATAACAGTGCTCAAAACAACAACGATGAGGATATTAGTCCCAAAAACTAATGGAAGAACAACTTCGAAAAGTATAAGGAAGGTTGGGGAGCACACCAGCTGAAAATATTGATTCAAATACAATGATAAGGATTCTGTTTTATTATTAATACTTAATCTCAGGACCCATGATAGTAATAGAGGTTGGAAAATGTACTAGCCAAAACATGGTGATGAAAACAATAAAGAACTTTTATAATAATTTAGTTATTGTATTTATCTCATATTTTCAGACAGCTCTAATCTACCATCTCTTTGATAAATATGGCATCTGTTTCAATTTGTGTTCATTTTCTAATACTTTTCTTCTCATGTTAACCTTTTTTTTCGTTTCAGCTATACAATCTTCATCTTTTCTTTTCTTTTCTTCCTCTCCAGATACATTCACCATCTCATTCCACAAGCCCTAATGACAAATCCTGGAATTCTTTGCCCAAGGTCCAATTTGCTGGACTTAATCTCGCGAGGCATGGATCATACGCCTCCCTGGATAATACCATCAATTCTCAGGTACTTTATATCTTACTTACTTATTTTCTTTACCTTCAACATCCTTGTCTTCCAGAAAGGCTTCATCAAAGGAAACATTTTATGAATCTAACATTAAACAGAAACATTTCTACATGCATAGAGCCTGACCAGTACTTAGATGTGTGATTGCTAGGAAATACGAGGGGCTATAAACTTGGATGTGCGGGTGGTGTAATGGATAATGGCTCGGAATTGTAAATCGGAGAGCGGAGTTCCAATTCCGGCTGGGTTCGTTATATTCACTTATGCGCAAATTCCATTGGGAAAGGTATGAATCCATCTTTCTCCCCCTGCTATGGGTTAATTAGTAAGACCTCTATGACTAAACCATCATTATCTTCAAAAAAGAAAAATTCCCTCGATCTAAAAATAATATTTTCTGGCTTTAAATAACCTTCAAAAGGGTTGATAAACCGTAGAAATCGAATAAATCAATGAAATATTCATTAGCTACGCAGACATGTCTTTTAGATTTATTTATATTTCCAGAAATATAAATTTATAGAAACTGCGATGGCCACTAATTGAGGGTCCAGTTTATATATTGATTGTAATACAGAATTAGACCCCCACTTTATAGCCACTATACGTTCTTGTTTTTTTTATCAAATTCTGATTAGGTATGAATGCAACTCTCCCCCCACCAAAGTTATAGGTTAATTAGTAAGACTTGTATCACTAAACCATTATTAAAACAAATCTAAAAATATTTTCTGGCTTTAAATAACCATCAAAGGGTTGATAATCCATAAAAAAACGTATCAATCAATCAGTGTTTTACAACAATTTCAGAAGAGCATATAATAACATAGTCTATCTGTCGTCTTTAATTTATGCACCAAATTAGAATGCTTAAATTCTTGAAGAAGACAGACATACGGTCGAAATATTGTTAAATATTGTCTTCGCTTTTGTTTTTCTAGAAATTGTGCTCCTCTGGTCGTACTACTACTATTTTCTTTGATTTGTAATATTGACTCATTTCTTTCCGGGTCCCGACCAGAGACCTAAGATCAGAAATGGCATCATGACATTTTCCACTGAGCAAAAAAAACAAACAAATATTATTATTATTATTATTATATAAAACAACATGCCTGGCCGCGTACACAATTCTGGAAAATTTCAGTTGAAAACACAATTATACTTAAACATGAAAACAATAAATAAAAACTAAAAATTCTTGAAGCTATATACATAAAACAGTTGAAACCTATCCTGAACAAAATAAACTACGAAATCTCCACAAATATTCTTAAATGCTTATAATTGATAACAGAAGCCATTGGTTCATACCAACGGCTTCCCATACTTAATACTTCTCGTTTTCACTCTCGCGTGGTCTTCTGTGACGTCACGAGCTGCGACGTGATTTTCGCTTCCACTACACTACTACACTAGTTAGTCGTTGTTTTGAAATTTTTCATGCAACTAAAACAGACTATCATTATTGTTTCGTCCGTGTATTGGTTGATATATTGAAATGTTATTGTCATCATTGATAATGGCTTATGTAAGCCGAAAGCTTAGATTGGATTTAAACATGTATCAATATGGTGATTTCCTTTCGTCTTTCAATGACAATGTTATTAAGCTTATCAGACAATATGAAAGGAACTTAAAATAAATAGATTAAACTTGTCTATATTAATGCATTAATGAAAAATTTCTGCCTAAATATACACAATATATATATATATATATATCATCTTTATTATAAATGTATAAATCCATTATTATTATTATTATTAATATTGAACAAAATGACTGACGTAACTCTTCCAATATTTTTGAACAGTAAAGAGAAGAGCGCGATTTAAGAAAAGAAAAAGAAAAACACAGAGTTTGACAATGTTGACCAATATTTCAACAGAATGTCTGTCTTCTATGGTCCAGTTAAGGACATTAACGCTGTATTGCACCACAGGGACAGCCAAGGTGTTTATGGCTGATATGTTTTTTGAGTTCAGCTCGGTATTTAATACCAGATGCACACGTCTTTAGTACTCCTTTCTTATCTTCTCCTTCATTTGGGGATGTTGTATATCATCTTCTTCGCTAATTCCTAGGTACTTATAAGCTTCATCTTGTTCCTGTTCCATAAACTTTGTGATAAAGTCTAAATCTATTGATGGTGTTTCTATAATTTTTCTTGAATGTTACTTTTGCACGTTTATCTAATCCGAAGTTCATGCCTATATCGTCATTAAAACATTATACAATATTAAGCAGACCCTTCAACTCACTGTCGTTTTTGGCAAAGAGTTTGAGATCATCCATGTAGGTGATTGAATTTTTTTGTCTAGTTTGTAACCATGGCTACTGTTGTTTAGTTCATGCGTAACTGGGATTAAAGACAAACAAAAGAGGTGAGAGAGAGTCTCCTTGAAAGATTCCACGTCGGATATTCAGACGGTTGGAGATAGCAGTGCCTCTGGTGTGATTTACGTATAGTGTGGTGTTCCACATTCCCATGCTGAGCTTAAGGAAATTTACTACCACAGGGGAAACTTTGTACATTTCCAAAGTCTTAAGGATTCAAGTGTGTGGCACACTATCAAAGGCTTTACGATAATCAATTGCGCTAAGATTTCTACATCGTCTCCTGCAATTTTCCAGGATCATTTTGTTGATCTTTGTAGCCATATGAACCTCTCTTGCATCCCTTCTGTTCCAGTGGAAGAATGTTGTTTGCTTCGAAGAAAGAGTAAGTACGGTTCGTCAGGACTGACGAGATCAACTTATATGTGGTGGAGAGGCATGTTATTGGCCTATAATTTTTCGGATCATCTGTTTCACTCGTTTTTTTGCATGAGATATGTAATATCTTCAGTGATCCGTTCCGGGATTTCATTGGGATTATTTACAAGCGTTGATAGAGCTTTTTTCAAGGGTTTTATGGATTGATGAGAGATGATAGAGCCAGAAATGGGGAACCTTTTCATTTCCTGGGGATTTCCATTTTGGGGATTTCGTTAGAGCTTGTCTAACATTATCTATGGTTATACTTTCCTACTTTTGCATAGGTATATCCAACATTCGTTCTTCTTCACGTTGGTTCCATTCTGCATTTGGGTTATATTCCTTTGGGCTGCTCCAAATATTCTCCCAAAATGTCTGCACTTTGTCAATAGATGGTGGCTTTTCGATATGTATAGGTGCTTTTCCAATTTCCCTGTAAAATTTCTTAAGGTCCGTTTGGAAAATTTTATTTTAGCGATAGAATCTGAACCGTTTTTCGTATCGTCTTGTTCTCTGCGCCTTTAAATGAAGTCTGTTTCAGCCTTAACTTGATTGATGGAATTTCAATTAGGAATTTAATTTTATATTTCAGCTTGATCTTCTTGCATTTTTTATGTGGAGACATTTTGGTTTCTAGTGAGCTCATCTAATATAGAAAACTCACATCTGATTTCCTTTCTTTCTCTCATCAGTTTTTCGTTCCAATCTGGCTCTCTATATCTCTTACTAGCAGTAGAGCCCGGCGTTGCCCGGGGATGTAACAGTAAGAGATAGATCAAGTATCGACCATCATAAAGACTGGAAAATAAAATTGACAAAGATTATTGTCTTAATTAGTTTTTTTTTTTTGTTGTTTTTTTTTGTTTGTTTTTTTTTACGAATTGTTCAAACCCAAACTCAAACAAAAACATTGTTTTCAATCGTTATGAGTCTACCGATTGAATAGAATTTTATTATAAACAATTGTCTTGTAAATGGAATTTTTAAAGCATTCTTAATGTAAAAATAAAGAAAAAAGTGTGCAAGACAATAAGAAACACTACCTGCCAAAAAAAGTGAATTTTTGTTGAAATCAGTTGAAAAATGTAGGAAATCCGATCCCATATATAAACGCACACACACACAAACAACCTGGGTTTTATGATAAGTATAACTCGATATGAGTTGTCCCCCTTTCATTCTGGCGACAGAGTCGTGTTTTCAAATTGATTTCATGCAAAAACAATTGTGTTTTCCCAATTTTTGGCGCTGCCAGAACCACCGTAAGGTAATTTTACGCAGTCCTGTGAAGTTTTGTTGAAATCAGTTGAAAAATGTAGGAAATCCGATCCAATATATAAACGTACAGACACACACACACACACACACTGCGTTTTATAATAAGTAAGATTTTGTTTTCATTGTCTTGACCTCAAGTTCCCCAATAGCTTCTAAAGCTGTTGCTTATATGATGTTGTTAACTTCTGTGATATTTCCCAGTGGTTTATCCGTTAACAGTGTTTCCAGAGCAGCGTTGTATACTTCCACAATATGCTTATTGGACTTCGTCATATGAATTTTGGGGAGCTAGTCTCTGTCTGATAATTGTGTGAGGGTTACTCTACTGAGTACTTGGATGACGTGGGTTTTCGCTTCGGTGATTTCAGCTCTGTGGTTTTCAAGGAAATCTAACTTAATGTAGTTGGAGTCATCTTCAATGACATCGTCTGGATAACAGTAGGTTATGTCACAGGTAGATTCTTCGATTTTATTTCCCGGGAGGTTTTTTCGTATTTCATTTGTTTTAGTTTTTACCTCATCCTTTGTCATATTACTTATTTCTACTTTCATCTTTTTACAGTTTAATTGATGGGTTATAGTATTCTGTTTTATATCTAATTTTATCTTATCTATTTCTGCATTCGAGAGTCTTTTGTTTCGCACAATGTCCATGCGGACATTGGCGTGTATGTTTGGGTTGGGGTTAGGTTTTATATCACTTCCTACCACAGTTCTCCATATTTGGTATGTTTGATTTGTGTTCTTCGCTGGATTTTCGAGTGCAGTAAAAAATGATGTCATGACTTGTTGTTACTCTTCGCGAGACCATTTCGTTCGTTTTCTTTTTATTAGTTGATTTGGCATTGAGTCACTTGGTCCAAGGTTGGGAATAGTCTGGGTTTGGTGACCTAGTCTCTCTTCGTCGATTATTATTATTATTATTATTATTATTATTTCCTTTAATTTCTGGTATATAC